TGTTTGAGCCTGTGACCATACGACAACAAATGGTGTTTGAAAACTTCATTATGCTGAAGGTGTTTTTATCAGCAACAGCCGCGGGTAAGTCTCATTACAGATGAACCTTTTTTAACACATTTTTTCATATATAAAGGCAATACTATTTAGTTTAATCTTAACGAAACTACACGTGACTTTTCATCTTCTGTTTTAGATTCCATGTTATAAAGTTTTATTTTTATCTTTATTTACAAGATTTATGTCATCCTGTGATTAGTTTTAATGTTCTCATTTTAAAAAAATCTTGATTGGAATAAGATTATAAACACATCATATATTTGATTAGCATGAGTGATCATGGCCGTGTGATTGCCAACAGAAGCCGAATACACTTACTAGTATATTCTAACTGTGAAATAGTTGACGTTGTTCTAAAATTATTTGGTATCAGAAAATTACGAAATATACTGAATTATTGGGTTAGTACAGCTCACCCATCTAGATTTCGCCTTTTCCTTGAGTCACTTAGGATTTTCTTAGTCGACTCAGGTGCTTCAATTTAAAGTCCCTAGCATCACCTCTGACGAGCCATAGAAAGAGGAAACGTCTGTATGATGTAGTTTAATTCAATAATTGGATATACTCTATCTAACTCTAAATTTATATTAAAATGTGTTATTCACTTGTGTGTCTTTTGTAAATATTTTAGAAGGTGAATATATCTATTCTTCATCATTAAGCCTGATATCGGTTAGACTGGCGATGCAAGCCTTTTGGTGGGGTCTGCAACATCAGGTAGAGATCTGAGGTGTGTGGTTTGTGTTTCTCGGGAAGCTGAGAAACAAACCTGTCGTGGTTGTGCACCTGGGCGAGACACTGTGCCTTAGTTACTCTGTATTATATACGGCGGACCTCCTCTCCCCTTTGTTTTCAGTAAGGCAGTCACTAGCTACTAACTACATAGAGACCTTACCTCAAAATTATCCTGGCTGTTCATGGGGTGTTAAACCAGAGAAAATTCAAACCTTTTATGGATAGGGAGAATAGTAATGTATCATATATTTAAAATGGTTCCCCTGCCTTTTTACAGGCCAGCTCTGTTTTGTTGTTTTGACGGCCATTCCTAAGACTAGACCGTACATGGACAACGCCATGCGTGACTTCATCTGCTGTTTCAGTGAGAAAGGAATATTGACTAGCATCCTTGGCCCGTTTATTTTGGGAATCGGAATGACCATGGCTGGATCGGTGAGAAATAGAATCTAGTATGCCTAAATCCGAAATACGACTTTAATCTTTATATCTTATTGACATGTCGACATTTTCGCGATTGTTTTCATGGAATCTATTATACAGTAAAGGTAATAAGTGTCATTACACTGAGAGCAGAACAGTTAAATAATATCGAGTCTTTACAATTGGCGTGTTTATTTTGCAGTGTCCTGGTATGATTTTAGCTCAGATCGGTGCCTGGGTCCCTAACGCAAGTAAGTACTATGTTTCTCAGTTAAAGACACTAGCACCAGCTGTTTGTTCATACAGTCATAAAAGTATTTAATCACGTGCTAGGGTTGTGTAAATCACACAGTTTATCATCACACCAATATAACTTGGAGAAAACTTTAATGTTTGGATTGATTAAGGTGATGTGGTGGTTGTCTCCTTCACCTGAAAATGTAAATATCAATTAAATCTACAACAAATATCCATATTTCTAAAACATCTATAACCATGGTGATTTTTCCGAGATGGTACATGATCTTGAAAGTAGACATTTATATGAATGGGTCGTGATGGCTGTCATTTTTTCTGTCTGTCGTTAGTTTTAAGATACAAAATGTAGATTGTATTGTCTGCCCTCCCAAATAAGAGAATCCTGTTATGTGATTACGTTCATCTCAACTTTTGATTGGTGGAAATTGGCTGTACAAATATTGTTTTAAACAATATTTTGATTAATTAGGTGAAGTATTGTTTTTAATATTTTTATCATCTAATAAATAATATCCTTATTTACATATTTTATCTATTCATTCATTTATTTAATAATTATGTATGTTAATTTTTTATATGAGATTTATTCATTTATTCATCTTATAATTATGTATACATTTGTATTAATTTTTTAATGAAATTTATTCATTTATTTATTTTCTTATAATACAATTGTAGAGGGCGATTTCATTGCGTTATGAATTTACTAAAAATAAACATGCATCAGATACACAACTCATTTGTTCTGAACATGTTCAGTTTTCAGTCTAATTGGAGTATTTTTGGGTGCCTTGACATATGGCTTGTTGGATCCCTTTATCTGCAGACTTGCCAGGCCCAAGGAACCCTACAGCTGGTCACAGTAAGTTATATTTGTAATATATTTCTTCTTAAAGATACAATATGTTATTGTCATGTTGGGGATGAAAAATTAGAAAATTGTGATGTCACCACATCTTTCGTCTAATTTCGATTTTCCTCATTCCCCGCTTGTAATTAGGCCCTTAACATCTCTGATGTGTCCTTGAGGAACGAAACAGATGTATGGTGCATTTTTTTTTCTTATGTTGTAATAAATGATCTAAGCCCAATCTTTCTGTAAGTGGTGCTATTCACCTCTTTATCTTTTGTGTAATCCTTCGACTGAGTATTTTCAATATGAGGTAATTCAGAAGCCTAATACAGGTTGAATGTTGGGTGTAACGTGGTGATGTAATCGGTGTTCTTAGATCTTGAACATGTTTTACAGCGTACACAAATCACTTGACAAACCATACCTGCTCATAGCTCTTCCCATGGCCTTAATGATTGTTGTGGGCGTGGCTCTGGCAGAACATTTCTGGCCGTGGACTAAGGATCTTGCCTCTATGGGGGTTTGTATTATCATTGTCTTTCATTCATCTCCTAATTTATATCCGTAAATAGTATCACAAATATGTTCTCTCATAAAAATTGAAAATACAAACATGTCAACACAATCACAATTATAATCCATACTCAAATTCAAGAAAACAAGCGCCAAATATGAACAAAAGAAAAAAAATTAATTGTTAAAGGTGAATAAGATCAGTTGTTCCTGAAGAGTTTAGCTTCATCGACGACATCAAGGTCGATAAGTTAATAATGACACGCTCGCAAGTGATAACAAGGTATACAACAACAGAAATATCAAACACGTCCAACTTCATATCGCAGAAAGGAATATATTAATTCTCGATGAGATCACTATTTTGTAAGACTAGTATGACTCGTATACATGTAACAGTATTAATTCTTATCGTGATTTTGTTCTCATTTTATTCAGTTTTTAACATATTTATGCACTACAATGATACCCAATGATAACGACTCCTACAATACAATTTTTGACATATTCTGTGAATTTGGAATGCAAGTGATGGTCACACCGTAGAGCTGAAGAACCTCGGTTTTGTGAGGATTCTGTATGTAATCTAAACAATATGAGCTCCATGAAACATTGACTTTATTTCATATATGGATGACAAAGACATTTGACAATTAACCGCAATATTCGTTTTCTTTCCAGAGAGAAAATCCTGACGGAGCAAATATTGCCACAGCTGTTTCATGGCCCCCTTATGTGTCAGGTACATAATGACAGTAGGAATAAATAGATCGGTAACATATGTCCAAACTAAGTTGCCCCTTAAAAGACCGGCAACAAGTAATCAGTCCCACAGGTAGGGGGGACACTGCCTAATTAGCTTAAGCACTGATACCTAATACAATAGTATTCACCTGTAATAGGTGCAAAGATCACTCAGCCGTGAAGCTTGTAACTCATCTGCGACTTATCAACAATGTCATAAGCAACTGTCTTCAGACACAATTGTTATCGAATGCGAACCTTTGACATTTACGATCATTACGCGAGGGGAAGTAACTCTCACTGAATAATACCACAGTCACACTCTTAAGTTGATCGTCGCAAAAAAAAAAACAACATATATGCAAGTTGGTTGGTTGGTTACAGGCTTTCTGTCTCCTCGACTCGTCTTAACTCTCTGCGTTGTCTTGGCGTGAACCCATACGTATTCAGATTTTAACAATCAACTGCTATGTTCTATCTTTACAAAGGTACCATCATAGGCCTTCTGCAGCTCCCTCTAGTGTTAGTGATAAAGGATACAATAGGCGGAAGCAGTAGTTACGTCACCATAGTGTCACAGTGGGTCATCACTGACAAACTGGCGCAAACATTTCCTTACTTGGCGAAGAGGAGAACCGGTGTTTCAAACTGGTGGCAGGTGAGTCTAGTTTGCATGTGTTAAGATTTTGTTCCTTTTTTACGATATTTTCCAGCAAGGAGCATTCCAATAAAATCAATCAATCATTCATTATATCAAACGAACTTTTACATTATAAAGGATTGGTTCGGAAATACTATAATTAAACTATTGATCGCTTTGCATGATTTTAGAACGATTTACATTGTTTACCGATGTAGTCAATTAGTAAGGTTTTCCGTTCATACAGGGAGCTAGTTAACAAAGCTACCCTGTAAAAGGTTTTCCGTTCATACAGGGAGCTAGTTAACAAAGCTACCCTGTTAAAGGTTTTCCGTTCATGCAGGGAGCTAGTTAACAAAGCTACCCTGTTAAAGATTTTCCGTTCATGTAGGGAGCTAGTTAACAAAGCTACCCTGTTAAAGGTTTTCCGTTCATACAGTTAACAAAGAGCTGTAAAAAGTTCAACAAAGCTAACAAAGCTACCCTGTTAAAGGTTTTCCGTTCATGCAGGGAGCTAGTTAACAAAGCTACCCTGTTAAAGATTTTCCGTTCATGTAGGGAGCTAGTTAACAAAGCTACCCTGTAAAAGGTTTTCCGTTCATACAGGGAGCTAGTTAACAAAGCTGTCCTGTAAAAGGTTTTCCGTTCATACAGGGAGCTAGTTAACAAAGCTGTCCTGTAAAAAGTTTTCCGTTCATACAGGGAGCTAGTTAACAAAGCTGTCCTGTAAAAGGTTTTCCGTTCATACAGGGAGCTAGTTAACAAAGCTACCCTGTTAAAGGTTTTCCGTTCATACAGGGAGCTAGTTAACAAAGCTACCCTGTTAAAGATTTTCCGTTCATGTAGGGAGCTAGTTAACAAAGCTGTCCTGTAAAAAGTTTTCCGTTCATACAGGGAGCTAGTTAACAAAGCTACCCTGTAAAAGGATTTCCGTTCATGCAGGGAGCTAGTTAACAAAGCTACCCTGTAAAAGATTTTCCGTTCATGTAGGGAGCTAGTTAACAAAGCTACCCTGTAAAAGGTTTTCCGTTCATGCAGGGAGCTAGTTGTCCTGTAAAAAGTTTTCCGTTCATACAGGAAGCTAGTTAACAAAGCTACCCTGTAAAAGCTATACAGGGAGCTAGTTAACAAAGCTACCCTGTTAAAGATTTTCCGTTCATGCAGGGAGCTAGTTAACAAAGCTACCCTGTAAAAGGATTTCCGTTCATACTGGGAGCTAGTTAACAAAGCTACCCTGTTAAAGGTTTTCCGTTCATACTGGGAGCTAGTTAACAAAGCTGTCCTGTAAAAGATTTTCCGTTCATGTAGGGAGCTAGTTAACAAAGCTACCCTGTTAAAGGTTTTCCGTTCATGCAGGGAGCTAGTTAACAAAGCTACCCTGTTAAAGATTTTCCGTTCATGTAGGGAGCTAGTTAACAAAGCTACCCTGTAAAAGGATTTCCGTTCATGCAGGGAGCTAGTTAACAAAGCTACCCTGTTAAAGGTTTTCCGTTCATGCAGGGAGCTAGTTAAGAAAGCTACCCTGTTAAAGGTTTTCCGTTCATGCAGGGAGCTAGTTAACAAAGCTACCCTGTAAAAGGATTTCCGTTCATGCAGGGAGCTAGTTAACAAAGCTGTCCTGTAAAAGGTTTTCCGTTCATACAGGGAGCTAGTTAACAAAGCTACCCTGTTAAAGGTTTTCCGTTCATGCAGGGAGCTAGTTAACAAAGCTACCCTGTTAAAGGTTTTCCGTTCATGCAGGGAGCTAGTTAACAAAGCTACCCTGTAAAAGGTTTTCCTTAAAGTTCTTCTGAGATGTGTAACATTCATCCCTCGTTTCTCACGCGAATTTATAATTTGACAATCAAATTTGGCGTATGTCCGATTTGTATGACTTTTTATGAATCCATGTCTTGAATAAGAAACATTTACTAACCTTATCACAAATATAAATTATCCAATGTAAATATTCTAATACAGGAAATAACAATTGTTAATGATGCTTTTCTTTATAATGATACCCTCCCATGAAGTTTTACTTAATGAATATGCCATCGCAGTCTCTAACAATATGATAATAATTGTATATAATTGTAATATACAAAGGTCCTTAACAAAATAATACATAACACATTTTTATCGACGAAACTGACATTTTTACGTTATTGTCATTCTCAGCGCTCCCTCTCTGATAATATTTTTCAATTCTCTTCTAGGAAAAGATATCCTTGTAACTGCAATTTTCCTTTCATTAGTCCCTGGTATTCACTGATGCTTATTTCAACGAGTTCCATTCCGTGAAGCTTTTTCTTTTATTTGCGCTTTATCGCATTAATTGGATTTTCATTCTTCTCTTTCTCTTAAAGACGATTACTTTCAACACGTGTTTCATATCCTAGTTGATTGAATTTGAGTTTTGTTTTTGTCTTTTTACAACACTTTCGATAAGTGATTGTGTCAACTATTATGGGTAATTTTGTAATATACTTAACCGGTATTACATTTTCCTCCAAGACATTTGTTTATTTGTGTCACGATGATTTTTATCCATTTTTTATTCAATGGAATGAACTTCCATTTAGATTGATAGATTATCTAAATACTTTATCAAGTATATACGAATGTGTTTAATACCGATGTGGTATGTAGTAAGATATATCCGACAGTTTTGTCTTTGGAAAATTCCCAGTTTAGGCTTGATGAAATCCAGCAAGGGGCCGAAACATATGTCTGTCAATTAATTATATTAAAACTCATTCTGTTGCAGGTTTTCTTCGTGTCGTTTGTGGTAGTAGGAGCATGTCTGTCCGGCGTAGCCTCAAACACGCTGACGACGAGCAAGGGGCCACAACTCCCAGTTGCGTTATTTGGGGGATTCCTTCTTCTATTTGGGGCTCGTCTGGGTGCAGGATGTACGAGGTAGGATTCACGTTTATCCACCTATCCTTTTTTAAAAATATTTGGTGCTGATAAAGATCAAAATGGATAATAATAAAATAAACCACAGAAATAGATAAATAAAAAATACTATTAGACACTAAACAAACCTAGATAATTACATAAATAGATAAATAAATAAGATAAATAACAGATAACTTATTAATAATCTTCTATGTTTCTTCCTGTACAATTTTTATCATTCTTCTCAGTTGTTAGTAAAATAACAATTGCTGATAAATTACTGAATGGTTTTACAGTGGGCATGGTCTCTCTGGAATGGCACTTCTCGCCTGGCTGTCTTTGATTGGCGTTCCTGCTATGTTTGCCGGTGGAATATCTACAGGGTTCGCCATGCAGGCCTCGGGAGCACTTGATAACTATGTCGACTACACAGGAGCGGTGTAAAAGCCATTTGACCTGGATCATCACATGTGAAATGTGACGCTACATCCGGTGTACTGATTCATCTCGTTCGTAGCACGGCAATCAAATGACCATAGACAAATTCTACTGCTACATCCGGGACCTTGATGTCTTACCAGTATTGCCAGAATAAATATCATTTAACCAAGAATTTCTAAAGCAATTATTGACATATCACGTGATTAGTGATGACCAATCAAACATTTTTTATTCTAATAGCAGGTTTCCTGTTGATTACACGTTTATAGTTTATGTTACCATGGATATAGAAAATACTGGAAACAGGAAATGTTATCGTATTATTCAGATGTAATTTCTGACCAATGTGCCAATTTTCTATGTGTTTTTATTGTATATTTATAAGTATGATATGTTATTCGTTACTTGATGTGTTAACCGTTAATGTGGGAGGTTTGTACAGGACGATTACTTCTCCATTGTCTGTATTTAAGATCCTTAATAATTTAATATAAACAAAGTTAAAATCAGACTTATAGTTTCAAATTAGAAAAAAAGTGAAAATTAATGTTTAGAAAAAATTTTTATGTATCACTTTAACATTTTTATCAAAATCTATGTGTGTTAATGTAGCTTAAAGATGTTTTGTGTATCGATGAAATATTTGAATAGATTAAAATCAGCACAACAAATGTGTTCCGCTAACGTTTTCAGGCCTAACGGCCATCTTCAGGCGATACATTTATTATAAAGTCTTGGTAACGAAATTATAATAAATTATAATAATAAGGTCTGAAAACGTAAGCGTATTACATTTATCGTGTTGATTTTATTATTTCCAACTATATATAGAGATATATTTAATCAACAATTATGGAAGTTATGCAAATGGAACATTTTTAGCATTGTTACTAAAAATAAAACCATCATATGTAGGCGTCTACAAACAATTACAAACAATCACCAACAAAGTACCTCATTATCAACGAACAAAAGTTGTAAATAGACAAATATGTGTTACACAACAATGTCGTGATACGATATTATATACCACATAATACCACATTGTCACACACCACGTTCAATACCAATGATAAGAAATACCAAGAAATCGGCAAAAACGCATCATAACTCATTGTCATGACATAAAAAAAGTACACGCCAGACAAAATATACCACATCTTCTTTAGACATCACAATGACAAAATTTACACCATTTCACTTTGCACACTTCTACAGAAAAGGGTGAAACTGTACAGATGTCTATTACCTTAAACAAACTGAGATACAAAAACAAATAAAGAGATGTACAACAACAATCATATACATTAAACAGAATAATAATTTCAACAAGACAAATGTTGATGTACTTCGATAAAGTTGTTCAGGCTTAACGGCCATCTCTCTTCATGTAATTAATTTATTTAACATCTTGTTTACAACATTATGACGTTACATATAATATATAACACCAGGGAAGATAAAAACATTATAATATAAACACAAGGGGAGATAATAAAATCATAAAGCCAAGGGAGATAATTATGTTAACGTTATTTTCTTCTTGATTGTTATATATTTTTTACGCCATTATCTGCCCAGGTTTCGTTTTTATAATGGTATCGTCTCCCATAACACTAATATTATACTAAGATTGCATATCTTAATAACACTTTGATATTACGGGTCTGATTTTCGCATAGTATTAAGCTCGCTCTGAAATACATTTAATTGTGTGTATCAGTTTTTATAATCTGCCTTTTTATCTAATCTCAAAAGGAGAAAAATACCGTGGTCAAAATATATTTGTATACAGTGGTTAATACCTGTAAACAGTGGCTGATGCCTGTATACAGTGGTCAATACCTGTAAACAGTGACTTATGCCTGTATACAGTGGTTAATACCTGTAAACAGTGGTTAATACCTGTAAACAGTGGCTAATACCTGTAAACAGTGGTCAATACCTGTAAATAGTTACTTATGTCTGTAAACAGTGGTTAATACCTGTAAACAATGACTTATGCCTGTATACAGTGGCAACAAAGTATAAATCGTAACTTAAACTTAATTCCATGGCAAATGCAATTTTGTTTGATTAAATTTCTTTGGTAGATAGGGTGAAAATATTTCTGATGAATTTCCGGATACAAAATAAATGTTTGTCAATCTATAACCATGTTAATGCCTATTCTTGTCTACTTGTCGTCTGAATATTTATATTTATTTAAGCTATCGTATATCCCTTTCCCAAGTTAACACGAATTTAAAATATATTACAAAGCAATAGATATCCATGAATGCTGTTCTATTATTGCAGTTAAAAGGGATCTTCACATGTAAATTCTGTATACACTGTGATTTATGTATTATGAATGACCCATACCACCATTTTAATTAGACAGATATATGTTATTTATTCAATGTGAGCACGATATTGTGTGTTGCGCCTTGCACGTTAAAACCTATTTTGTAGATAGGTGTTATCTTTTGTTAACATATTTACACCTATAATTACAAGATTCATTTTTAACTGTTCTGCTACCATTCCATTTATGTGGCTCTGTTGTTGTTTACCTTGTTCTCATTTGGGAACGTTGCATTAACAGAAGCATAAGACGTTTCCACATATTCTCCCTGTACTTTACCTGTTAACATATTTGTATTGTCTTCCGTGTTTCCTGTACTTTTCCACGAGTCTCCACGTAAGTGTTTTCACTACAATTTCAGATCTTGTATTTGATTTACGAACCTGTTAACACTTGGTATTTTATCTTAGTGATCTTAGTACAAACTGTTATTAATGGTACTCATATCTCTGTTTTCAATTCTTTCCCGCCAAAATCCACCGCGATACTTCTTAATTACAGGGTGTGACGTAAATCTGTTTCCCGTGGAATCTTCTAGGAAAGTATAAGATACTACTTGTATTGTTTAGTTTTATAAACGATATTTGTAACTTTACCTTTCGACGTGGTCAGTAGTTTGTTATGTTTTGCAATAAACACCTCGCCCTCTCTATAGACCTCTAACCGGAGTTGTCGTTCGTTACATTAAAACAAGAACGACAACTCCAGTTATATCAATACTGCTGCAAAATAACTCCTGCTGATGTAAGGAATCATGATTGTTAAACTTTTGTTGTTGTGTTGATCTGTGTTAGTGCTGACCTTTGACACCCTCACTGTGACCCTGTGCCATATTACCTCTGCCGATAGCTCATGTAATATATTTTGTGTTGATGATTGTTATAAATCGTTATTTATTTTATTATGATTAATAAAGCAATGATTTTTACTTATGAATTGTCTTTTGTTGATGGATTGAATTGAATCAGATGGATAATTTATCTTTAATGGGGAGAAAAAGCTTAAAAACATTTTCATTCCTGCAATATTTTGACAAACAAAGACCATGACATACTAAAAACCGAACAAATGGATAGACCTGATAAGAAAATTTGTAGCGTCGACCAGTTCATCGACAAAATGGTTTTTATTGAATACTCGTGTTATTCACATTTATGCTGTTTTCATTATGTCAACAAAATCGTAATTCAAACCAAAAATCGAAAACAAATCAGAACAAAATAAGAAGAAAGTAATATTTAAATAAAGGTGATTAAAAGCTTGAAGAAAGATAAAATCGTGTGTTCCTGAAGAATTTGCCTCATCGCCTCCACCTGCCATGTTATTAGATATAACGATATGTCAAGTTCTGCAAAAGAAAACGGAGTTGATAAAGGCTTACTGATGGGCATTGAACCATATCTAACTTCATATCGGACAAAAATATGATATTAAAATGAAATCAGGATTACGAAGATAATCGTCACATTGACGACGACATTTGAACTCTTTAGGTTGAGAAAGATCTACAGCGATCAGATTTGAAGTTTCAAGCCAACATTTGTTTTGAAAACATTTTTCTGGAAAACACAGGGCTTTTCCTCCTGCATGTTCTCTATTTAAAGAGAAATTCCTGGAAAATAAACCACTGTCCACTGTAATATGTGCAAAGACTGCTGATAATTTTGAATCTGAGACCTAAATGTCTCTGTTTGATTGGATGATGGATTGGGACGAGGTACAAGGTACCGCTTGATAATTCGTGGTTTACTGAAATAATTGAAACAATATAGCAGTAATGAAATTTGGAAATAACAACATGTAACACCCTTTAATATTAGATCTATAATTGGCTGTTCATTATCAGGTCATTTCTGGTGGAACGGATGGGGAGCGGGGAATGAAAAAGGTGTGAAATTTACCTGCCCTGCGGCGTAGTATACTGATAAACTTAATGATGACTGGCCAAGGGGCACACTGGCCAGTTTAGGGTGACATAGACAAACGTCTGAAATATGAGCTGTGCATTGATGATGGCAATATTGTGGGAAATTAATTACTATGCGTTCATGGGAGGGAATATAAATAGCCATGATATATAATGTATTGTCAGATTAGAAGATTTAACAGGAGTGCTCAATTTCTCCCTGTTTATTCATATAGGTATATGTACAACTGTCAGATTTGAAGATTTTACTGCAGTGCTCAATACATCCCTGTTTATTCATATAAGTATATGCACAACTGTCAGATTAGAAGATTTTACTGGAGGATCTCCTTACATATCTATATAGTACAAATGTGTGTTTACTGTATATTCATTTTAGTGGGATATGGAATAAACTTCGACTGAGACGTTCTGTAGAACCGTTTGCACAGTACAACAATTGTCATTACCGCCATTACCTAAGGATCACTTCGTCCGATAGTTATTGCCACGGGACTGGTTCTACAGATTAGTTATAAAAATAGGGATATTGACTGAGAAGCAATAGAAAAAAACGCAGCAAACAAACAACATATCATTGTACTTGTATGTAATCACTTCTGTACACTTCTTTTTTCTGAAAATCTAATCGAATAGCTCTATTTTTGTATTATATGGACGTCTCGTCCAACCTCTTTTAAATTCCCGAAAGTATCTGAAAGCATTCAGCTAAAACGAAATCAAGAATGATCGTCTTTCTTATAATTATGTCTGCATCCTACACTTTATGTTAAAAATGATTGTACATGTAAGTATCAACGTCAACATAGTATATACATGGTATACTTCTTCAATAATGCTTGCATGATTCGTCATTATTGTTCTATCTACTGTGAGTGAATCGGTCAGTTTATATTCACACCAATGGTTACAAATGTCAGTCATATGGCCTTTGAAATTGCATTGTATATGAACGAACGGAATGTATAGAGTGATAAGCCTACCATAAGATAACTAAATGAAGGAAACAAAAACAAACGAGACATTATAGTAAACTCCAGTGATTTTTCATATTCACATACTGTGAGCTATGTTTTGGTTATAGCATTACCACTGTGTGGAAATGTCGTTTATATTTTATTATTCATCTCGTCAGTTACATATAAAAATCCTTTATTTCGATGATATCAAATGATACTTTGAGCAGAAAACAATATATATAAACAGTAGTCCGTGTTAATGGTTCATCGATACACATACATTGATGCTGTGTTTACCTGTACAACGATAGGATTTTGAAAATATCCGTGAACTGAAATGTCTATTTAAAGCTTGTCAAAGTCACATCAAGTTGTTTAAATATACTCGATAGTCAGAGGCATGCATTTGGAGATTTGATACATATTCTTACCTTCATATTAACGGAGAAATCCGAACGTCTTCAAAATGTACCGATTGCTCTCAGTTTGTTATAAAAAAGTTCTAAATGCCTTTTGTTTATTTTTAAACAGTCTTGACAAAATATTGTAAGAAAGATAATGTTTTCATTATATATCAGCTTTATAAAAAAAACTACCAGATGCCATGTATTTACTTGAAAACAATCTGAAGCAAATATTGTGAAGAAACACTACGTTATCATTATATAATATCGAAGGGTATTTAGATGTACTAATTGATATCAGTCTTTTACATATACACCTGATACCCTCTGTTTATTTTAAACAGCGTAGTGTTATAATAGCACAGTGTATATAATGTGCAAATTGCTATCAGTTTGACATAAATACTTAATACCCCAGTTTATTTCAACGTCTAAACAAAATATTATGTTATCCTTAAATAATGTGGTTTAATGAAACCAATTTGATATACATAAGTACATAATACCCTTTGGTTATCTTGAACAGCCGTAACAAAATATTGTGAAGCAATGCTGTGTTATCATTATATAATGTGGTGTTATATTAAAGTGTATTTGAATGTTCTAATTGCGATCAATATGAAAATTGAAAGTACTAAATGCATCCTGTTTATTTTAAAGTCTTAACAAAATATTTTGAAGTTACACTATGATATCCTTATATAGCGTGATGTTATGCTGCCATCTTGATTTATATAAGTAAATTGTGTTGTGCTAGTTGTTATCAGTCTGATCTATGAAAGAACTGTGTACTTTGAATAGTCCTAACAAAATACAGTGAAGCATTACGACTTTCAGTTAGCATCCATTTTGTCACGTATCTATTGATATAGTATTGTTTTACCTCATGTTATACATTTTCATGTATCTGAGGATCCAATAAACTTGAACTTGAAAACTTATTAAAGCTCTTTTGCTATGGGACATTTCACCATTGAAATACTTTTTCTGTTACCATGGAAACAGATAGGTCAAATCACAAAGTTTTTTTTTCAGACCATTCAAGGTAAATACCTGTTACTCAAAAACTTTGTACAAGCATCAAGCTAGTATTATAGCAGAAGTTCTCAATTTCAATACTTTGTATGGAACAATTAGAAATAACAAATAGAAATTAACTTGTTTTGATATTAACATATATATAAATGATTGTGTGTCTTTCTTGGGCGGAGGGAAAATGCCACGTATCTTGTCGTCTTTTGTTTTGTTCTTTTTTTGTCTGCCTTCATGGTGTATGATTGTATGTGCACGATTTACTTACATATGGAAACTTTATTATTTCAACTTATAAAATCACACTTGTTGTAAGCATTAGTGGGGTCTAACTTCGGGAGGAAACCTGTCTCCCTCGGGGAATCGAACCCCAAACGGCTAGGTGAAAGACAAGTGTGTTACAACCGTGCCACCAAACCTTCGCCTGATCATGATGATGCATTGTTTTCTAGAAGAAGAAGTGCTGCTGCTGTTGCTGGTGATGATATATTGGTACATTTGTATGTGCCGATGTTTTGTTCAAAATATTGCGAAATATACAACAAATTTAAAAAAAAACACGCTTCAGTGCAGACATGGATCAGGCTGTCCAAATGTGCATCTTGTTGACCGACTTATGGTCGCTTTTAGCAGGGACTATTTCATATTATAATGCAGATAAGAAAATCCCAGTTTTCAGAAACAGATATTGAACTGTAAATCAAAAGTCAATGGGAAATCATTTTTATATAAAATATTGTTCAACAGAAAAATATGTTTCCGTTCTTGCTGAGCGTCGAAATCCTTCGGTAGTTCTTCGTAATCTCGATCACTACGCTCAACGTGCAAAAATGTCTTTGTCCTCAAGCTTTCTACTGATCTAGATCCAAAAACGTTAAATAATTCTCGCACCTAGTTCAGTTGCTTCAAATTGAATTTCCCTTTAATATCGTATGAGTTCAGCAGGTTAAGGCGGTAATGTTTTCGTGTGGTAACGTAAAAATAAATGGCTGAAGTCGTTATGCCTGGTAGACGGGCATACTGGTCTAAATACGGTGAGTTGATAGAAGAAATGTATCTGCAACAATCCTAAAGGGACAGTTATATTCTTAATGGTGAATGAAATTCACAGTATTAGAATTGTTATGCAGGTATTCTCCGTAATATTGTTTGTCTGTTCTGTTTGGACTTGTTTAGAATAATTTCCTACATAACAATTTTTGCAAAAAGTCAATGAAAATAATTCCAATGTCGAAAACCTGGGTAAAGTAGAGTAAAACAGTCAGGTGGTGCACACATATCGTTACATTGAGTTTTTTGTTGCATATGATGCAGACAGACCTAATCCTGTGGTGAGTGTTGAGTGAACACAACAATCGCATCAAATAAAATTAAAAAGTAAAAACATGTTAGTCAGTGGTAAGCCAAATTTGGCAAACTGAGAATGAAGTAAAGTTTAATGATTAGTACCGTTTACCGAAAGAAAAACCCACATTTCTAGTAGATTGTAAGGAACTCTGGTCTGGCATGGGCAGCTACCGGCAAATCTGGTTATAAAGGTAGTTTAGACAATATGGACAAATCTAACTATATGTATGTAGGGAATGTAAACAACTAGGTGATCATTGTATGCACATTGAAAAAAATGGAGGATAGATTTAGAGATTTGGTAAAACATGATTTTTGTCACCGGGCACCATTTCTGGTGAGTGTGTTTAATTTTTGTCATTTTGGTACTTGTATCCCTCTCACCACATATTCGGATGATGAGACACGAAATTTCCTTAATTCTTTATTAAAACACCACAATAATTCACATCCATTGCAAGTTATATTTTTTTTTGCATTGAAACATCATGCTGAAAATGTACCTGTTGCTGGATTCTGCATCAAAGGGATGCTTATCTGCAGATGACACAATGAATGATGCTAGAGTTTGTTACTAAATAGTGAGTGTATATAGATTCTGAAAATATGTAACAATGAAATTCACTGGAAAAACCCACCTAATATCATACCAGCCAACATTCCAAATTCTCACTGGGGAGAAAAGTGCATGGACAATAATGTTATGACTCACCACAATACCTTGCACATCATGACATTTGTCACAAAGGAAAAATTAATTAATTTATATTTAATCAATACATCTAGATTAAAATGCCCAGCCTGACCAGGATTTTGAACCCAGGAGTTTCCGAACTCTAGACAGATGTTCTGCCTACTGAACTAACTGTTCAACGACCCTGTCCAGTTCCACTACATTCCTCCCTCCTTATTTTCAGTCTTAGCTTCAGTGCAAACTCTGAAGGAAATGGAATAATTATTCATACTAACAGTAACTTCCGTAACAATTTAACATAAAAATTTATAGTTTTGATTATATTTCTTATTGAAGAGAGATGTCCTGTGTTGGCATGATGCTCACAGAAAGTATTTTCTAAATTTCTTCTACAGCTTGTTGTCTACATATTTCATCTGTAGATGAAGTAATCAGTAGTTAAGAAACAAGAAAAATCTCTACAGGTATCATTGTAATGTTTTAATAAGTGTTCAATTTAGATCTGAAACCAAAGCTGTTTAAATTTTATTTTCATTAGTCACAATTTTTTTTGTAATTGTCTTTTTAATCCTAGGCATTTTTTGTCTGTGGAACTAATACTTTGAAGTGTAAAAATTTTCAACAGTTGCATCTACTATGAAAAGATGCTTTTGATGGTGGAAATGAAAAGAAATAATTCATCACATGAATTACATCAAACCTGATAAGTTTCTTTCATATCAGAATGTCTACAAATAATCCAAGGTCTTAAAAAATACTCGGATCTTTTAGTTGTGTTACATCACAGTTCATCACCTTGCAAAGTTATTCAGTCAAGGTTCCATTAAAAACTTTGTGATAGGCTTTCAACACAAATTAGATAGCTATAGAGAATATAATTGAAATATGTTTGAGATGTAACATTACCATTGTGTAAGGAATTCATACTTTTACTTAGGGCTGTAAGTAGCGAGGGTTAAAAATATTTGCGATGTAGAAACTAATAATGAACATGATACTGGTTAAACTAACTTGAAAAGCAATTATTGATTGATTGAAAAATAAAGGTAATACATAGATATATATATATATATAAAGGTAATACATAGATAGATATATATATAAAGGTAATATATAGATATATATATATATATGACTCACAACAAGATAACACTGATTTATTTCTGTTTCAGCCTTAGATTCTAGTGAAGAATCCGAGTCAGCATTTGTTCCAGGTCAGTAATTGGGTGAAGTAATACCAGATGCACACATTTAAATATAAATTTATCAAAAAAATATATAATTAGAAACAATCTGATTAGTAAAGTGACATGGCTTTCATATCAAATCTTCAGGCATTTTACAGTATTATATATATATACTGTATTTATCTGTAGGAGTGTCAGCACCAGGAAACAGACGTCCAATGAAAATGCTGGCTAGGAAAACTCCGGAGATAAAAGTACGGATTCCAGTTGCTCAGCCACTTGTAGAACAACTTGCTGTATCTATGGATACCGTCACCGTAAGTAAAGTCTTTCTGTCTCTGACAGTATCTGTAACATGTTATTGATGCCTGCAACAAGTATATCAGCATTCACATATATTTCAGCCAAAGAGGCAAACATCTTTTATCTATTTCCCAACTGTCTTATTTTCACAGAAAAGAAACCGAGACCTAAGAGTCTATACTATCAAGACCTTTTTTACAATAACAAGTAGATTCTCCTGCTATCAACACTATCTGAAACACAAAACAAATTTCGGTCTTTCTTTCAAATTATGTCTTAAACCCTTATATTCCTAGAATTTCATCACTGCTCTGTTTCAGTATCTTATTTATCCAAAAATAAGTCTTTTCTATATTTCAGGACATCAGCTGTGATGATGCTATAAACAAGAAGCAAAGGCCTCCTCAGATCAGATCTACATCTGGGGTCAAGGTCATGACAGGAGTGAATGTCAAGGACACACAACGAATCAAGCCAGGCATCCATGACAACAAACAGAAATCTGTATCACTAAAAGACTTACCACTGGAGGAAAAAAAGAGGATTGCCAACCTCATCAAAGAATTAGCGAGGTGTGATATTGATATTGCACTAGTCATGACTCATGTACTTGTGATGACTTGTTTGAAAGGACTTCACGCAATAAGGTCAACCCTGTGTCAAGTATAGCCTAGGCATAGCTAAGTGTCCTATCTATCTGTAGATAAGTCTTGCTAACTAGTCTACCAATATCTTCTACTGCAGGCTAGAGTAATCAACAAATACTTTTTTACAGTCCAGTAATAAGTCTTTGAATAAGATGTATGTTGGCTCCCTTGACTTACTCAAATGTATGTTGTCTCCCTGGACTTACTCAAATGTATGTTGGCTCCCTGGACTTACTCAAATGTATGTTGTCTCCCTGGACTTACTCAAATGTATGTTGGCTCCCTGGATTTACTCAAATGTATGTTGGCTCCCTGGATTTACTCAAATGTATGTTGGCTCCCTGGATTTACTCAAATGTATGTTACCTCCCTGGACTTAATCAAATGTATGTTGGCTCCCTGGATTTACTCAAATGTATGTTGGCTCCCTGGATTTACTCAAATGTATGTTACCTCCCTGGATTTACTCAAATGTATGTTGGCTAACTGGATTTACTCAAATGTATGTTACCTCCCTGGATTTACTCAAATGTATGTTACCTCCCTGGATTTACTCAAATGTATGTTGGCTAACTGGATTTACTCAAATGTATGTTACCTCCCTGGATTTACGCAAATGTATGTTGTCTCCCTGGATTTACTCAAATGTATGTTGGCTCCCTGGATTTACTCAAATGTATGTTACCTCCCTGGATTTACTCAAATGTATGTTGGCTCCCTGGATTTACTCAAATGTATGTTGGCTCCCTGGATTTACTCAAATGTATGTTGGCTCCCTGGATTTACTCAAATGTATGTTGGCTCCCTGGATTTACTCAAATGTATGTTGGCTCCCTGGACTTATTCAAATGTATGTTGTCTCCCTGGACTTATCAAATGTATTTTAGCTCCCTGGACTTACTCAAATGTATGTTGGCTCCCTAGGCTTATAGCAGGATCAATACAGCCAGGTGCGAAATGAGTGTCAGGTATTAGTAACTATAATTTGTAATATATGTAGAACAGTAATAAAGTTTGTTATCATCCACGTAAATACCTTCTAATCAGTAAATGTTTGTGTGAGTCGAGTAATGTAGTTAACATTACATATAAATATGTAATAATCTTAGGGATATGTAATGAGTGGCTATATAATGAGCTCTATAAGTCTAAATGTAGGTTGTATACATGTACAAGCAATATATAGAAAGTGAGTTTAGAAAAAGAAATATGTGTGAAGGTTGAACTTTTACAGTATCAATGGGTTAAGTAAGTGTTTGCGCTAATTCCACTCCAGTACAAAACAAATAATTTAATATTTCAGGGTCGGTGATGAGAAGGAAAAAGCGATTGACCAACTTCATACAGAAAGAAATCAGTTTGAGAAACAGGTTCTTCAACTTGTGGATCAACAAGAAAGAATTCTCAATGAAAGAGAAGGTATTGATTTGAAAATAAAGTAATTCAAATGTACATGTTTTATTTTATCAGAATGTTGCCATTCTTTCCTCATTTTAAAACAGTTGTTTTGTTCATGATTTGTTGAAATAAGAATCTTTATATATGCTGAACAATAGCTGTTTAAGGAGAATGAATGACAAGATTGTTGACAATCAGATTTGAGTGAGAATGCTGGTATTGTAATATTTCATGTGGCTTCTCTAACTATTTATCAGCATCACAGTGATAACTGTGAAAGCCAAAACAGTTTTATCAAAATTCTGTTAGAAAACCAATTAGCTCCTTGGAGATGCTGATAATTTTATATCTGGACTAGTGATACCTGTATGTTTCTCTCCCTCTGTTAGGGACTGTACAGTAGCTGTATAGACTTTTTCCAATATTCCAGTTATTGAAGTCAGTGCTGTTTTTGTTTATCTTTTGACCAATTGACCAGAGTTATTCATTTATGAAATAAGGATGGACATACTGATATTAATCATGTCCTTACCTAATGGTCTAGATAATAGTCCTAGAAGATCTTACTTTGATAAAGCCTTTCAAGGCGGGTCTGTACAAATTTATGCCTCAAATGTTCAATATAAAATAATGATTTGTCTGAAAATTGTCCCAGTATACTGTTAGGGACAGTTTGTTGTTGTGTTGTTGTACAGGGGACATATTTCTGTCTGTTACAGTCATACAGAACCAGCTGTTCCAATGTCAGGACCTACTGGCAAGGTACCAAGACAAGATTGAACAGAAACAACAGGAGGTGATTGACCTAATCACTACGCCAATAAAGGTTAGGGATCAAAGGTGGCAAAGTCGGTCAATATTTTTAAATAACTGTTAAAAATCAGATGAGTGCAGTATCAGAGTACCTGCAGGAAGATTTTTGCAAACTTTAGAGATGAGGACAATTTTTTGGCGATGTTAGTCTCTAAAATGTATCTTCCTTGCCCTATACAGTAATTTCTGAAATAGCTCTCATTGTACCTGTAAGTGTTGTCTTCCTGATATGAATATCTTATCAAGGTATCAATGATTGCTATGATGTTTACTTTTCTCTCAATTCCATTATAACAATATTTTCAGAGCCAGAAAGAAAAACAACCTAGGTCAAGGTCAAGATCTCCGGAATCTTCCATTCCTTACACATCACATTGTCATGGTAACCATGCTGATCTGCGTTCATCACAAGACAAACTGTACACGTCCCTCATAGACAAGGCCATTGCTAACCAGAGGTCAGGAATGGGTGAAGACGGCCTCAGCTCTATTGGGGGTCAGTCTGAAGTTGGTGAGGGATCTGTCAAAGCCTTAACACCACCAAGAGGTCATCACCCCAGCCTGGTTCCTCTGGCCCTTAGGGAGCCAGTCATGTCTAGTACACAGAAAAGTGCCGATATAAAAGTGTTCAATTCAGAGGAAGGCAGTTTCCATTCGTTACAACCTGACCCCAGCCCAAGGTCATCACGCATATCTAATGAATTTGTACTAGCAAATGAAAATAAAGACATGTTGCAAAAATCAAAAGTAGGGTTCAAGGAGAAACTGGAGGAAGACTTTGATAAGTTACATTCACCAACAGTAAACCCGCCTGGTGTGTTTGGTGATAAAAGTTATATGAGTTATTACAAGAAACTGTCTCAGACAGACAGGAAGCGCGAGTTGCTACGCCAACGGGAAAAATTACTTGATGAGCAACAACGATTAAAAGACATTTTGAGGTCACAAGAAGCTCAAATAAAAACAAGGCAAAACTTGATTGAGCAACAAAGAGATCTACAACAAGACCGTATGGAATTCTTTGAGAAAAATGGCAAATTTCCTCTTGGTAGGGAAACAGCAGTTCCAGAAGGTGGAAACCCCACAACAAACACAAGCATTTCCTCCAAAGAAAATATTCCCCCACCTCCTGTGTCACTGCCCCTCCCCCAGGGACAGGCTCAGGGGGATGATGATGGCAGTTTGTTCAATTACGGGGTGAAAAAGCTGAACTTTGACCTTGAGGGAGAAGATGTTGGTGAGGAGTGTACAAAAACTCCACCGAAATCTCAACAACGCAATCAACAGTCCATGGCCACCTCTCCAATCAGGATGGTGTCGCCAAGAGAGAGAGCTACCAGCAGTCCATACCGAGGTGTAGACGCAGCTACCAGTGTTTCTCATATACACTTAAGTCCTAGGTAGGTACAGCCAACAGTAGTCCATACTGAGGTGTAGACACAACTACAAGTGTTTCTCATGTACATCTAAGTCCTAGTTAGGTACAGCCATCAGTAGTGCAAATGGATGTGTAGACACAACTACCAGTGTTTCTCATGTACATCTAAGTCCTAGGTAGGTACAGCCAACAGTAGTCCATACTGAGGTGTAGACACAGCTATAAGTGTTTCTCATAAGGACAGCCCATATTCCTCTGTACACAGTATTACCATATGATGTGTGCATAACTGATGGATGATTAGAGAAAAGATAAAATTATCATACAACTGCAAATTATCATGTGGCAGACACAAAAATTCTTTTAGGATCACTTGTAACTAGTGTGACCCTGATAAATACTAGCCGCATCAAACTGGTCATCTAGAGAGAGCTTCTCTTTTGCTCCATCAGTTGAGCATCAGACTAAATGTCAGAGGTCATGGGTTCGAATCCTGGCAAAGGCATTAAAGCAAATAATGACCTCTGTTACATTGATGCCCATGTAGGGACTCTGGTATAATACTTAGTATTACTTTAACTAAGTTAAGTAACATTGCTGTTACCCCTGGAAACTCCAGTTCTTTTCTTGATGGGGAGTATGTAATCCAGGTGAAGTTCTAGCAGCGATATTTTGCTTGGCTAAAGAGAACTTCTCTTTAGTGCAATTGGTTGCATGTCAGACGGGTTTGAATCCTATCAGAGGCATTGAAATAAATAATGACCTCTGTTACACTAAAATTATCTATTGTTTAGCTAAGCCCTAGCAACTAGGATATAGTATGTATGTGGAAAGATAACAAAACATCATACAAATACAGTACACATGTATTGAGCTGGTTAGAATTATTCCCAATACTAGATAAAAATGAATTTTGTTAGATGAAGAGATGTTTTTGTTCTACAGGACCCAGAAACACAATGAGTCAGTGGAGGATTTGTTACTGGGACAGCAGGTTAACCTCCCCTTACCTCACAGTCCTACCATCAGGAGCAGCACTGGTCAATATCAGAATAACCTCCCTTTACAGTCCAACAGAGGGCGTTCAAATCAGTCGCCTGTCAGCAAACCATCAGCAGGGTAGGTTACGTAATATACATTCTCGATAATATCTTTTTGAACATTTTCTCAAACTTATACAAAATCAAAAATCAAAATATTTTGGAACATTTTCTTCAGGTTGGTAATGTCAATAGGTTTAGGGATTAGAGTGTGATGTTTCAATGACTACATGGTCACCATCTTGAGACAGTTGGTTAAGGAAGCCATCTGGATATGCTGTAGCAGGCCAGTACTTTATAGGGATGAGGGGGGGGGGGGGGGCACAGACTCTTGCACATCTTTGACCAAATGTTAAACAAAGCATAGCCGAATTCACTACAGTATATTGTAACCATCTGGTGTGTTTTTTGGTCTATAATCTGTTTACCGTCTTGTCACACTATTTTCGACCTTGTTGTTCATAGGATTACAGTGCAGCCAAACAAGTTGGTCAATTCCATACCATCTTGTACACTATGTACATCAGTGCTAGTACACTCCACACTGGTCATTTGTCTGGTGAAGGCGACTAGTCATCAAAATGTTTGAAACATTACACTCTACTGGTTGTGTTACAAGAACTTCTATTCTTTTCTATGAAAGCCTAGATGTTTTAACTCCTATTTATTTTGTGACGTTAGACCACATGTGATGCCATGAATTTGTGATCACCACATCACAATCAAAATAATCAGACCCCACAGTCTTCGTCAACATTATTGAATTAAACATGTTTATGTATAATCAGCCATCCATAACTGTTGGTTGTGTCAAATTTCAAACGTAAAATACTGTATCGATATGCAGATATGTCTCTGCCCACAAATAAGCCCCTATAATTATTTTTCAGAATCATCAATCTTAAAATAGTAAGCTAAACATTATTCACAAATAAGCTTTCCCCATTTTACCACACTAAACTTTTACACAGAGAGGGGATACAGATGTAAATACATTAACAGTCGATTTATCAAGTTTAGTTGGAGGATACTATATATTGGTAAAAAGTATTGTTGAAACACACATACTTATTCAATAAGTCGTTTCACCTGTTTATGTGATCCTGTGAGATTGATAGAATGATAAAACTCTATTATTATGATTTACAGAGACAAGACACTATCTGTGATAGAGATACTAAACACTATGGAGAAGAGCCCATCCTTGTCAGGGAGTGTGCGTGGTAATAAGAACAGCCCAGGCTTGTCAGGAAGTGTGCATGGTAACAGGAACAGCCCAGGCTGGTCAGGAGGTGTACACAGAGATAAAGACGGTCCAAGTCGGTCAGGAGGTTCACGTGGTCAGGTCCAAAGTCCAAGGCATGGATATATAACTCCTCAGAAATCTGACTCTCTTTATGACTTTGTAGAAGCAGAAGAGGAAGAAAGTCAAATTCTTGAAGATGTTTTCTTTCTGAAATGAAGAATTGTAAAGATTTATCAACCACAAATTCCTACTTTTTTTCGGCATTTATGTTAGGGATCAGGTATTATCTGTCTTCATTACAAACAGATTCTTTGGAAGATGTGAGGAGTTACCTCCCCTTTGTACAGATATTATCTGATCAACAAATCATATATATATATATATATGAAACACTTTTTATGTAAGGTGTGTTGGGGATTGTGTAAGGACATGTGAAAGTTACCTCCCTTTGCTCATTCATCTACAAGGAACTGAGATTGTGTAATGACAGTTTACATCTGGAATGTTGGAAACATTGTATTGTTCAATTTTGTTTTCTCTGTTGCTGTATAACATATTAGCAGTAGTATTGGTCGACTTGCCACAATGCAGTCATAAATTATTGGAGCAATAGAAAATACACAGAAATGATTCAATCTCAAGATTCAAATTGGATGTAAAAAGTCTTGAACAAAGATGCGTGATCTTGGATATACTGTAATGTGGAGCAACTGGTGGAGTCAATATGGCTGCCAAAATACATATATATTTATGTACCAAAGATATTATAGATCTGAGTAGGACTAGTTTCTTATCACATTTCCAAAATATGGAGACAATTATTGTACACTAATGTAGAGGCAAAGTCAGTGACTCCAGGTCGATTGTAACATAGGAAATTAATATTTAAATGTAACCAAATGTATCTGTGCCTTTTATACATCATTTAAATCTACATTTGTTGTACATTCCACTATTTGAGCTTTCAAAATCAATATTTTGTTTTGAGATGATAATTCTAAAAAAAAAATGTCTTTCACATTCAATACATAAGTTAAGTTTGATAAATCAGCATTAAGTCTGACAATAAACTCGCCCTTCAGAGAAAAAAAAAGCAACAAATACTATTTTTTTGTATATGGTAGCAGATGTTATGTTATACTCCATCTAAACGTTTCAGATAAAATTGATGTGTTGACCCTGAAGTTGTTATAGGATGGACAGGGTAATGTGTAGTAACCAGCTGGCATATGTTGCCTGTTTGACTATTCCATGTTTCAAACTTTATATTAAATTCTCTGATACAGAAATTAGGTCAGATATTGATATTGTGTAATTATTTTTAAAATTTTGATTAAAGGAAAATTAATCAGATCTGTTTTCAAAGGTTATCTTATATTAACTGAACTAACAACATCAAATAAACCTACCTTGTCAAATAAATTTGAAATTGTTTAGGAGAAACATATTCTTGAGATTTGACATATAATAGATAGAATTTACTGAATGTAAATCTGCATGCCTTAAGTGTGCTTGTGAGAATAAATTGTACGATAATGTTGTTCTGATGAAGCCCGACATTAAGGACCAAAATGGGTAGACCAACTACCTAATAAAACAATTTGTTTATTTTGAGACTCTTTGTGAAGTGCTAAATTGATCCTGCAGTAACCCAAGGGACCAACATGTAATCTCTGATGAATGAGATGGGCTTATTACAGGAATATTGGCTAAGATGTTGTCATTTCTTTTTAAGCTCCCAGTGACATGGCTGTGCTGATCTATGGTAATGTAAAAATTATGATATCACAAAAACAGGGTTATTTACTGTAAATTTACAGCAGCCTGATACTGTGGTAATTTTGTGTTGTACACATACATGTACATCAAATTACATGTCAGAAAAATGTCCGAAAAGAAGATAAAGAAATGTTCAGGATTTTTATAGATAGGAAGGAAGTAAATCCATGAAGAGAGATTTAGAAATCATTTTTAATGAACATCCAAGAAAGCAATAGAACTGTTACTGCTCTGATTGACTATGTCATTAGAGAGTAAATGAGAGAATATTTCTTATTAAACTTGGTTGTTTTTACTGCAGATCTCTGTCTCAGCAAACCATTGATGAATTATTTCAACTTATAAGTGGATGACATGGTCCATCTTTTCATTCTTTACCTGTAAAGGAAAACGCGTGATCAACACCACACAGAAGTACTGTTTGTTTGCTGAATAATCTTATTGTATGTAATATGTTTAGGCATTAGGATGTTACTGTTATTAGTCCATGGACATCATTAAATAAAAAGGTCTCCCCTAAGTTGATCCGTGTTTTATCTTTTTATAAGTGTAAACATGGTAAAATACAAGCTGCAATATACCACTTGGCTAGAGAGAACTTCTCTTTAGCTCGATTGGTTGAGCGTCAGACTATTAAGCCAGGGGTCCCGGGTTCGATTCCTAGCGGAGGCAATGAAATAAATAATGACCTCTGTTACATAAGTATAACACATAACAACAAGATGAAGGATGGAGCATCAAGGCCTGGGATTCTGTGGATTTAGGTTTTATTGGCTTACATGTTTCGGTTGGTTAGGCCAACCGTCTTCAGAATATTGACGCTCCATCCTTCATCTTGTTGTTAGTACATATCGTCTATGGAGCTCTGCTAGAATACTCCTGTATCCACCTAGGATTCCTCCTTTGACATATCTATCGATCAGTACCACCCACAGGACGTTGGACCCCTCCACCCCTTTTTTTATTTTTACACCAAGTATAACACATGTGGACGGATGGTGCAGTGATAATGCACTCGCGTTTTACATAGATATCTGGGATTCAATTCCTAGAAAGGATGTAAAAAGGTACTTGGTCTCTTGCCAAAAATGTGGGCTTCCATGTAGTCTGGTTTCCTTCCACTCCACTTTAGACCCCCACACTCTTCTGTCTGGGCTAACAATAGTGATTAATATAAGTTCAAAGCTTGTTTCGTAATTGTTGTAAAATAAATCATTTTCATTTAAACTTTACCTATTTTCAAGGTCAGCAGGTTCAATGCATCACTTAAGTACCATAATGCTGATTGTATTTGGTCTGAAACCTAGATGGATTACAAAACCTGTTCCAAAGTCATGGTCTGTTGCTACTTTAGGGGAAGAACAGTGAGGTTTGTTCAACTTAGTGACCTAGTTTCAGTTTCAATGGCTAATTAGATTAAACAATGCCAGTTGACCTAAAAAGACCATTTCCAGAATGACACATAGGATATATGACTTCTGTAATATGTAGAACAATGAGGCTGCGTTGTGTAGGTATGGCATTAGGTTGTGAATATTTTAGGAACATTTGATGACAATTGATTCATGCTCAAGCTGATTGACTTTTCCATCCCACCAAGTTTGAAATATTTATTAATTAGTCTAGAAGAAATAATAAAAAAGAATTGTGAATAAGCAATATAGGATAAAGGCATTTTCTACATGGTGTGTAATTGTATAACATAGCAGAATTTGTTGGAAAAGGTGTATAAAATACATGGTAAATTATATATCAAATGGATGCTTTTACCTCCCTAGGGAGATTTCATTAAATTCAGCAATTATCAGTGCCAAGGTCTTTGATTCTGAGAAAAAAATCACTACATGTCTTACATTTATCACTGCAAAATAACCTCACGTCTGAGACTGCTATGGACTTATATTTCTGATAATTGTCTGATATTGTCCCTAATGTGATAATAAAAGATAAATTGATGTATGCTATTTTTGTAAGTAGTGTCACAAGATGAAATTATGAGCATGGACATTTTGTTAGCAGAGGAACAGGAAAAGCTATTAAATCAATTAAACTTTACTAATTGCATAACAGATGTATTTTAGCGTGTGTTATTAGTTTTTTTGAGTGGTGAAGCAGCCTTAAAATAATTACATAATAATGTATTGACACAAAGTTAGTGGTGCCTAAAAATCAGTCTCCAGGGAAAGTAAACATTCACGTAGCTTCTTGAAAACGTGACAGTTATTCACAACAATTGGAATAATTTGAAGTGTACAATTACAAAAAAGGGTCGTTCGAAATACTGATTTGGTTTAGTGATGTGCCAAGTCTTGACGGTGTCTGTCGGTGGAAAAACGCCCTTGTCGCAATTGTGTGTACTAAATCTCGCTGCATGGACGAGATTTGCCAGCATCACAGTTATGGTGGACGTCGTCTAGACCGGGGACGGATGTAGACAAATTTCATGGATATATATTCTTAATACAGACAACTCATCGACGTAAGTTATTGCTTCTTAATATTTGTGTAAGGAACTTAATGTCTTTGTTGCGCCACAGTCAATTCATTTTTTCAAGGGAGCAATATATGATTACAATAATATTTCCCCTCTGGAGACATGTCAACATGATCGTGTTTCGTCACGCGCCGGCTTGTAGTTGACCAGTGCTTTGCCGGTCTTCATCTAATCTTGATATAGACATAAGCTGCAGCTCTTTAACATATATCATAAACTTCGCAAATCTGATACATTGAACGAGCATGTTCTATCACTGAGTCTGCCCAATAACGATAGAACCATACGCGAGAATTCCCAGATGGAACTTCCTCAGCGTAATTATCAAATGTTCAACTTTCACAGAATTTAAATCCAGGATAACACAAAATACCTTTGCAAACATCTACACACACAGCTTCATTTTTATCACTTTTGATGAAAGAACTATTTTTTCTTTTAATTTTAAATTCACATTTTTAACAAGCATGCACCACCATACATCCTCTACATACCCACACCAGAATGATCAGGAGATATTGAAAAAGATGTCTGTACACAAGCTCACATTTTCTACACTCAGCCATGAATGATATGTAAAATTATGGTAAAGTCAATGATACACTGGTATTCAATATACAGGAATGTAAAATGGAAAACTTACTTAGTTTGGACATAGTTTGTAAGTGTTACGTGTCAAAACAATATCGATAATTTCTAATTCCCACCTTAATCATACTGAATTTCTCAATTTTGGCCATTTGTTGTATGAAAGCATACTCTGGAAATTTTACATGGTCTCAAAGGTGGTAACAGATCGGGTTATGTAAGTACACAAGAAGAGCAAACAAAGAACCTCAGAAATTAAAATTATAAACTGTGATGTAGAATTAGCGGACGTTTTGCAATGTATAGACGAGGATAGGTAATTTTAGGGTGGAATTTGAGCAGTAAGCAGCATTATGATTTGCAATAAAATTTTGATACTTTTTAATTCATAAGTGTACAATATTGAAACACAAAAAAAAAGAAGTTGAAGTTTCATGCAGTTCTTTGCAAAATGAAATTGAATCAATCCATAGGTGCACAGAATTACCTTACAGCATCATATACAAGGCTGTTCAGAATTCTGATGCTGCAGTGCTTGTATAGTTAACTTTCCTCTCTTTTACATCACAAAAAATAAATGAATAAAAAAGAATGAAAAAAATTTTGTTTGGTCAATGTTGCATAGTTACATACGTAAGTATGATTCTTCATTTGGCTTAGTTAGTTGAGTGATATTCCATGAAACCACTTCCAGCTGATCACGTCCCTAAAATATTGAAATGTCCTAATTTATGGTATGGCAAAATCTCTGTTCTGTATTTCATTCATACAGTCAAGAACTGACAATTAATTGAATGTTTCAAATGTCACAATTGAGCTGTCACCATTTTTTATTAAGTAAAGTATGTGCAAATTAATTGTACAACTACATGTGCTACCAGAGTTAATTGAGATACATAAACAGATATTGATTTATCAATGTTAGATATAGAGTATCGTATACAAAGTTTGTAAAATACTCAGGAGCAAATTTTTAAGATTTGTTCATTATCTGTATTAACAATAATTTGTCTGAATTCTCGTCAATATAAACATTCTGATCCCCAGTCATAGTCATCTAGACATGTCCTTGTGTTTAGAAGGAAGACAATTAAAATGTATGGGCCTTTCAATAGGTTGTTATTTTCTTAATTGAACTACCAATGATTGTGCCACGCTATTTCGTCAGTAGCTTTAATGCACCAATGAAAAGGGCTGTCAGGTTCGTGCTATTAAATGACCTTGAACCATGGTAAGAAAATCATGTAATTGATTCAGAATTACAAGAGTCTCATTGAATGGCATACTGTGCACTTAAATTATATTGTAACATTCTTCGATGAAATGCGATTGAGTTCCTACAAAATGCTTGACCCATATTACTGCTTACATATATAACTCTCAGAAACAATATTCTTTTCTCAGAATCTGTATACTGTAAGAATACATAGCCCACCTAATTCGAGTGAAACCGGTCGAAAAGATGAATGAACGTACTACCAACTTATCCTGAGCTTGTTGTGGTTGATACTTGCGTTGTAAGAGTTACAGTATCAAGCTTTTCACCTGTCAGTTAATTTAATATGTATAACAGTTGTAATGTTACAACTGTGATGCTATACTTGGAATCGTTTATCACTGTTACAGATTTAATATGTGATAAATTCTGATATACATTGCCATTGGACATATACGTCCAGGAGGTGTGCCGTAATTAGCATGTATCATTTTAATTTGTAAATTCATTCCACTTTCAAGAAAAATGTTCTACATTTTTGGTGTTTAACTATATACCATCATATCTGTAGCTGGCTTTTGCCATTAGGTGAAGGCTACCAGTTCAGCCTATAAAGCTATAACTTATTGCCATTTCATTGCACTGCTTTTTACCCAAGTGTACATAACATTATACCACAGCTGGAAGGTTCTGTGGAAATTACTGCCAGCTGCTACACTTAACCTCTGTACAAATAGGCTTCACACTGGTCATTTATAAAGGTGACAGTGTAACATACAAAAATGTATTAGTTGACAAAATTTGACACTGTAACTAATCAGAACTTCTATTCTTAAACATTACCAAGCAGAAGATCTGGGTTTTTTTCACTTTCAGGTTTGGATATACTTGAAATATCCAACAGATTTCTGTAAGATACACCTCAGAAAGACACATATGGTATCACTCAAGATGTGAAGTATGGGTTCAAAACAGACAACTGGATCTTACATGGTTGAACCAAAGTTACTGTTGATGTGATATCCTAATAATTGTCATGCATGGATGAATGTATCGACAAAAATCTACTAGGAGAGCCCGCATTTCATCTACATCCCCACTTTTGTCTACGTTACTGTGACAATGAGGAGGAAACATCTTGTGGTTGTTGTGGTGACCATCTTCCTGTGCTGGAACATAATGATGTATTATCTACTGGTGTCTAAAAACCCAGGAAAGGTTGGTGCTGTTTTAAAATAATTGTCTCACAATACTGAAAATGAAGAAAAGTTGGCACTGTTGTAAAACAGTTACCTCATGTTTGGTCTTCACATCTGTCGCCATGTGCAGTCTGCCGTCTGTAAACTTTTCCTTTAAAACACTACTGCTGCTTAAAACCTTGGTTGGGGAATCCTTTCTTAAATTTAGAAAGTTGATTCAACCTTTAGGGACTTGGGTTTGGGTTCCCTAAAAGGAAGTTAGACAATAATTTTCTTCAAAATGCTACTCTTCATTAATACTTGAATGAAATTCATTCAAATTTATCTATAACATCAGTAAGGGTTGGCAAATAATTCTTAAATTCAGAAAGTTTATTCAACCCCTAGGAAAATTAGACAATAATTTTGTTTTAAAATGCTATGCTTCCTTAGGACTTGAGAAGATTTAACATGATGTAGTATGAAAAGTAATTGTGATTGAAGAATCATTTCTTAAATTCATAAAGATGATTCCACCCCTAGTAATTTGGGGTTGGGGGTCCAAATGGGGAAGTTAGACAATATTTTACTCCAAAACACTATCCTTTCTTAATGCCTGGGTAGATTTCAACCACATTTGGTCTGAAACATTATCAGGGAGTGGCAGTGATATCAAACATGCATGCAGTGATCCTGAAATTGTCCTGACCAAATTTCACGTTTTCACTTTGGTCCCAAATCCAACATAAATAACAAAAACAAATAGTCTGAACTACTCAAGTTTCATTCACACCAATGGGAAAAATATTTTAAGTTTAATTTGTTAAGGAAAAGAAAGAAATGATTTGTTGTTGTTTTTTTTACAGCTTGGTCAAAACTTCAACATAGTAACCACAGTAGTCATTGGCTGCCCCAGATTTTCTGTGAAAGCATGCTGTGTTTCTCTTTGTTCATGTAGATGTTATAAGAATTATAATTGGTGAATTTTTGTTGCAGTCCATCTTAGTTGAGGAGAAGTTGACGTGGCTTGAGGCAGACATTAAACATGAGCTCAGGGAAAATACAGCTTTACTAGAGCAGCTACGTAAGTTACGAGAGGATGCAGGTGAGCACTGTCTAAGGAGATAGTGAATGTTGGGTTAGATAGGTCAGTCTAAGGCTAAAGGTTGTGTTATGTGAGAAGAATACTTACTGGTGTGGGCTGTGGGACCCATGGTGAGTACAAAGGTGTGGGATGTGGGACCCATGGTGAGTACAAAGGTGTGGGCTGTGGGATCCATGGTGAGTACAAAGGTGTGGGCTGTGGGACCCATGGTGAGTACAAAGGTGTGGGCTGTGGGACCCATGGTGAGTACAAAGGTGTGGGCTGTGGGACCCGTGATGAGTGCAAAGATGTGGGATGTGAGACCGGTGGTGAGTACAAAGGTGTGGGATGTGGGACCGGTGGTGAGTGCAAAGGCATGTGGGATAATTGGATATGAAAAGGAAAGGACTCTCTCATTTTATCACGTATATACACATACCATTAATTATTATTACATTATGTAGTGACATGATTTTAAGGAAGACTGTATAATAAACACCACAAAGAAAAACTGATCCAAGGTGGAATAAATTGTATGAATCATTATGTATTTGTACTGTAGAGAGACAAGCCCGTCGGAAGACGGAAGCACCCATTGGGAGACAAGCACAACCAGAGATAGAAGCACCCAATCAGAAGATAGAGGCACCCATAAGGATGAACCAACAACCTGTTGATGCAAACTTTGTTATCCTGCCAATACTCATGATAGCATGTGATCGTGTGTCGGTCAGTCGTAGTCTGGACCAGCTTCTCAAGTAAGTCACAATAATTGATGGCAGATGTATTCTATTAATATCATCATCAGATGGTGGGCTATTCAGTTGCCCTACATCCAAGGTCCATCGTCAGTCAGTCTGTAAACAATATTTGTTATCGCTATTTGTTGAGAAGTGCTGGACAGATCTATCACAAATTTCATTGTAGGTTCCCCTTGGTCCCTAGTTGTGCCAATTGGATTTTGGGATTGATCAGAGAGAAAAGTAGTTGACAGGTGGCCATCTTGGATTTTTTCAGTGTAGTTTGTTTTTGCTATTTCTTGAAAAGTACTTGAAGGATCTCTCTCAAATTTCATGTGTAGATTTTCCTTTGTCCCGTGTTGTGCAGACAGGCAGCCATCATAGTTTTGACTGTGAAAGATTGTCATTGATATTTCCTGAGAAGTGCTGCCTAGATGTATTTCAAATTTCATATATAGGTCTATCTTGATCCCTAGTTGTATCAGTTTAAGTATGGGACTGATCCTTAAAGCAGATTGGCCGACAGGCAGCCATCTTGGATTTTTACCTAGTTAAGATTGTTATCCCTTTTTCTTTAGAAGTATGAAATGGATCTCTCTTCATACATCTGTTTCCTTTGTCCCTAGTTGTGCCTGTTTGATTTTGGGACTGATCAGAAAAAACAAAATGGCTTCCAGGCAGCCATTTTGAATTTGGCAGGTAAAGATTATTATTACTATTTCTTCGATGTAGTGTTCAAATTCCTTATCATTAAGAGAAAAAACAGAGGAGAGAAAAAGAAGGGAAAGATTCATTTTTAAAAAATCTCTCTGGGATCTCTTGTTGTCTCTCACACAGCTACTCATGAAGATTTCCTTTTGCTGACATCAGAGACAAATCAATCCAAAGATGTGTATCTGTGTTACAAGGCCAGACCCTCTTCATGATGGATCAGTCGATATAACGTTGGCTTACATGACAGCAATTAGAAATTTGAGATGTGTAGTTTGATGTTCCCAACACTTGGTTGTTTGTTTATCATGAAAGCTGAGAAATGTACTGGTCTGCTTTCATGGTTGTGTCCTCAGTGACCCCTAATTGCTCTGGATGACCTCTGACTGACCTCATGTATGTTGTGTAATGAGGTAACCATTAGTTACTACAGGGAGATCCAGCCTCAAAATGACACAGGTTGTTTAGGGGCGACAAATTAGGCCCAGCCAACAAACACCTGAGGTTAAGTACCTCGATAAGGTTGTTCAGGGGCGACAAATTAAACCCAGCCAAAAAACACCTGAGGTTAAGTACCTCGATCAGGTTGTTTAGGGGCGACAAATTAAACCCAGCCAAAAAACACCTGAGATTAAGTACCTCGATCAGGTTGTCTAGGGGCGACAAATTAGACCCAGCTAACAAACACCTGAGGTTAAGTACCTCGATCAGGTTGTCTAGGGGCGACAAATTAAACCCAGCTAACAAACACCTGAGATTAAGTACCTCGATTATGACATGGAAACACTTGAGATCTGTTGACGATGATAACACAAATTCTACCACAGTTAAGCCTGGCCAGGATGGTTCTATCTGACTCCAGGGATCTTTCCTTTGTCAGAACATTGATCAGTTGAGATCCTGACCCTATTACTGTTAGTCTTGGTTTAGTTTTCAATCCAAATTGATGTGTTGATGATAGGATGTAATAGATTATCGAACTATTTAATTTTTCATAACCTAATCAGTAATTTACAATTTTCTTGTGTTTTAGTAAAAATCAAAATCCCTATTATGCAGCATACAGATGCCAATTGCCAATAATATTCATTTTTATGCAAATTTTGGTCAAAAGTAAAAAAAAAATCACTTCAACAAACAATGCATTCACTTTCTATGATACTGATTACACAGTCAACTAATCAAATACCTATTTGAAAAAACAAATTAAATTTTAACTGATCGTAATTTTTGTAATGTAACTTATTTCCCATCACTAATTGAAACATATCTTTATTGTCCCTTCAGAAATGTTGTTTGTACAAATCACGTCCATAGAGACAAATATGCGGATTTCATAAGATATAAATAGAAAGAAACAGAGGGGGAGTTACTAATTCAGAAAATATCAGCAACGTGTACTGGTATATACATAATAGTGTGTTGTTTAAATCCTAATAGGGAGTTGAAATACTAGAGGACTTTTTCTCCCTAGGTACCGGACGTCACCAGAGCGTTTTCCTATTATCGTAAGTCAAGACTGTGGACACCAGACAACTTCTGATGTCATACAGAAGTATGTTGTCTCTGACAACATCATACACATCAAGGTAAGAACAGCGACATCTGACATTAAAGGTAGGTCGTGTAAAATCCTTTGGACTTGTTGGTGGTGTTTAGTCAACAAGATCTTCTGTTTCCCTGCATTAAAAATAGAAGTTTCATTTTTAAGCTTGACACCTGGCTCCAATTGCTCAAAGGTAGGTTAGAATTAAGCCGTGGCCAGTGAAAAATTTCACTTGTTGCTGAAAAAACACTGGCATTCAGTGCAAATTGATACTCCAAAATATCAATCTGATATGTATTAACAAACCTACAGCTGTGAAGTAAGGAAGAATCTCCTCATTTCTGTATGATTTATATCTAAAAATTTTCACGAGTAGTAGTAGTCAATCACAACAGGCGGAGAGGTCAGGTTCATCAATTTATTCGTCAACCAGTTTCACCCTAACTCTGGCTTCATCAGGACAAAGTGACAAAGTGACAAAGTGATAAAGTGACAAAGTGACAAAGTGATAAAGTGACAAAGTGACAAAGTGATAAAGTGACAAAGTGATAAAGAAATTTTAACACCTAAAATACAAATAAAAGGAAGTCCGAGTTAGGGCAAATCCGATCGACAAATTAATTGATGAACCGACTTTTCTGCCTGTTGTGATTGACTACTACTACTCTTTTGATACTCAATCATCCTTCAATCACCCTGCATACTTACAGGTATCCAGACAGAGAGGCAAAGAAACCCATTATCTACCATTTCTAGCTTACCCAGTTTTGGCTCTATCTTATAAAAATGTTCACTTACTATTGTTTAACTCTAACCAGCCTTAGAGCAACCCCTGGAAATAACTTTTATAAGGTTGTGGTATTCTTGTTTTGATAATATCTATCCTAGATTAGAAATGTTTCACTCTCAGCAATATTTTATCATTTATTTTTGGCCTACAATTTGATATTAATGGTGATTTTAAATCAATATTAAGTTTGTTTATATTTTACAATACTTTTTTACAAGGTTGGTAAATATGGTGTTAGGTTATATGATCTATACAACACATTCTACAAGACCTTTTTATCTCAAAGTTATTCTTTAAAGACTTTCTATAAATAAACTGTTGATTTGAATTATTTTTTTTTGTGTTGATGATTAAAAACCAAATCTGATGATTTTATCACGCCACTGTTACAGCAACCAGACCTGAGTAATATAGAGCTACCATGGCCGAAAAAGAAATTCAGTGGTTATTACAAGATTGCCCGCCATTATAAATGGGCCCTAAACCAGATCTTCCATCACTTCAACTACTCGGCTGTTATTATAGTGGAAGGTGAGTGATTCTGTACCCAGTCACATAAAAGATAAAGTTGTTTTTTTTTCAATAATTTATTTTACAGTTGTTCTAAAACCTGAACAGGAAAAGGATGTATTTTCCACGGGAGTCATAACAAGGAGGTATTGTTTTTTGCTAATACTTCGTTTTTCAGTTAGTTTGTATTATGATTATTACATTAGAATTTTAAGTTGTGAAAAAATCGTATTTCGTGTTTTTATTGGTTGCTTTCCAATGGTAGAATTATGATGTGGCTCGCCTGTTTTTGGCACCAAATTTTCCTGATGTCTGGATCATATAACTCAGAGTTTGATTGTTACTGTAGAATTGTGTACCAACGTAATCTGGAACCTTTCACTCTTAACAGACGATCTGGATGTTTCCCCCGATTTCTTTGAGTATTTTGCTGCTACTTATCCTGTTCTAACCTCTGACCCCTCACTGTGGTGTGTGTCTGCGTGGAATGACAACGGTAAAGGAGGCATGGTGTCAGATGATGCAGGTAAGTCTGTTTTTGAAAAATGTTGCGGTATGGAATATATTCAGCATTTGAATTAGATTTATTGAAGGTCGTATGTGATGTGTTTATTTCGCAAATATTACAAAAAATCTTATGTTTATCACGCTTTATGACATGTTTTCAGGGAAAGAAGAAAGAAAAATTAAATCTTTGTGAAATAACGAAGAAAACAGTAGCATGATATTTGCCTATGTAACGTTATTGAGTTATGCTTGAAAACCGTGTCTTTTGGAATGGACATCTACCTAAAGTGCTACTGTGATATTAAATTAAATTTTAATGAGGAAATAATCCAAAGTAGGATCACCAGGACTAGAAGAATCTCATTCTGATGTGGTTTGATATTAAATTAAATTTTAATGAGGAAATAATCCAAAGTAGGATCACCAGGACTAGAAGAATCTCATTCTGATGTGGTTTATTGTTTTTATCTGACAGAGCTTCTGTACAGGTCTGACTTTTTTCCTGGACTTGGCTGGATGATGGAAAGGAAACTATGGCTGGAAATCGGACCAAAGTGGCCAGTTACGTAAGTTGATTGGCTAAGGAACTCGTCACTCTACGAGACTTGATTACTGAAGTGTTTGGGATTGAGAACAGCAGTATTTTACAAATCAAGTTGATCCATGTTTATTTAAACTCAAGTTACAGGAATGCTCCCAGTTAGTACAACAGATCTCTTTGTCCCTAACATATCCTTCCATAATCTCCATTATTTAACCTTTTCATAATCAAAAAGTTAGTTCTTCTATACTTAGCATGCTTCATTATGTCACAATAAAAAACATTCATGTGATTATGACAGGTTCTGGGATGACTGGATGCGCCATCAGGACCAAAGGAAGGACAGAGTTTGTATACGACCTGAGATTTGTAGAACAAGTACATTTGGAAAGAAGGGAGTTAGCAAGTAGGTCATGTATATCATTACTGAGATCACAAAGTAGAGCATACGTATCATTACTGAGGTCAGCCAGAAGGTTATACAATAAGTAGGTCATATTTATCACTACATATATCACAAAATGTGTCAAGCTTTTTAGGTCACCTGAGACAAAGTCAATATTACTTATCTCAGGTGACTGTCAAGACCGCTAGACCTCTTGTTATAAAATATGGTCAAAAAGTAGGGCAATGGTTAGTTTTGAAAGAGATGAAAATCATGAAAAAGAATGGATATGTATTGAGCAATTCTTCATTATACAAATGTACTCAGTGAGTACTTTAAACATACAGATTTTAGTGGGAAAGTTTTGTTCATCACACTGAGGATTGCTTATATTGATTGTATCATCTATATATTGTTGATATAAAAAGCAATGATTACTGAGATATCAATGTGCTAATATAGATTTAATAACACTCAATGATATAAGTTTGCAGTTTCAAATTTGTTGGCGTAAATGACCTTGAAAACATTTCATAGATCAAGTTCTTTGATTTTGGTCAGTATTCAGTATAACTGGTTTTGTATGTGTTTAAAAATGTTAATAAAACTCTCCTCAAGAAAAACTTGACTAAGAAAAAAGAAACTTTTCCATGAGTTAATATGCTGTTGTGATGAATATATGCATTACCTACAGATCTGCGAGGTCTGTTATTTGTATAGAGTATTCACCCATACAATTAACATATTGGTATTTATCTTTACAGGGGATTATTTTATGAAAAACATTTAAAATACATCAAGTTGAATGATCAATTTGTAGAATTTACCAAGAAAGACCTATCCTATTTAAAAAAGGTGAGTTCAATTTTCTTCTATGTTTATAAGTAAGGACACAAGTATATTGACGTAATGGTATTGTAGTTGTAAGTTCTGTTGTCCACACAACATTTTTACCTCTGTATGTCATTTTTCTCTGACCCTGATAATGATGTGTGCATTCACTCTGACCCTGGTCTGTTTAAAGGTTAAAGGTAGAGAGGACTGTGACTTGTCCAGCTATGACCTCTATGTATCACAGGTGAACTTTGACCCCTGGTGAACTTTGACCTCTTTGTTTATGTTTTACAGGTGAACTATGACTCCTGGTTAACTGTGACCTTTATTTATATATCACTAAGGAGAACTATGACCTTTGTTGAACTATAGCCTCTATGTTTTTGCTTTGCAGGAGAATTATGACCCTTGGTTCAAACGTCTGGTGTATGACACACCAGAGGTGACGGTTGCTGAAGTGATGTCTGGAAGTAAAAAACACCTCAAGGCACTACGTGTTACATACACAACAAAGGAGCAGTACAAATCTCTAGCCAAGAGGCTCGGCATTATGGACGACTTCAAGGTCAGTTGGGAATCCTATCACTACCATGGTACAGAAAGTGGACAGTGACAGCCTGGTCAATTGTAATTTGATTTCATTTGAAATCTAGTCAATAAAATGTTGTTTTAGCATCTGAGAAATTTAGTTTAACTACTACAGAAAGTGGACAGTGAAATACCTAGTTATAACTTATTGTTAAACTGGGGATGAAAGAGAAGTTTTTAGGTCACCTGAGCCGAAGGCTCATGGTGACCTATTGCCATCATGAGTTGTCTGTCGTCGTGCGTCGTTAACTTTTCACATATTCAACATCTTCTCAAGAACCACTGAATGGATTTTGACCAAACTTGACACAAAGCACTTATTGAAAGCCGCTTCAAGTTTGTGAAGAAAAAGGGCGTGGCCCCAATAGGGGCCGCAGGAGGAGAAAAAAGGGGGTAAAATTAGGTAAATCTTTAAAAATCTTCTTCTCATGAACCAACAGTCAGATTAAATTTATATCTGATATTTAGGGTCCTTATGGCAAGGTCTACAAAGTTTGCGAATGAAGAAAAATCGGGTCAAAAATGGCCCCACTAGGGGGTGCTCAAAAGGGTCAAAAATTTAACTTTGATCGATTTCAACCAAATTTGGTAGACAGCATCCCTTAGTGAAGGACATATGAAATTAAGTTGAAAAAAGTGATAATGTCCCCTTTGGGGGCCCATAAGGGGTGTAAAATGGGCCATATGTAAAAACCTTCTTTAAATGACTTCTTCTCAGGAACGAGTGGATGGATTTCAACCAAACTTGGCACAAAGTATCCCTATAGTAAGATGCATCAAGTTTGGGAAAGAAAAGGGTGTGGCTCCAATAGGGGCTACAGGAGGGGGCAAAAAGGGATAAAATTAGGTAAATCTTTAAAGAAAAACTTCTTCTTATGAACCAAGGATCAGATTTTCCTAAAATTCAAAATTCCTGATTACTAGAGCAAGGTCTACAAAGTTTGCGAATTAGAAAAAAACTGGGTCATAAACAGGCCCTCTATGGGCTTTTAAAAGGGGTCAAAATTCAAAGTTGACGAAGATCAACCAAATTTAGTATATAGGGTCCCCTAGTGAAGAACATGTAACGTTGAGTTGAAAAAAAGTGTCTGAGGGGTTCTGGGGCCTCATGGCTGGCAAAAAGGGGTCAGTTAGATTTTTTTAGTGAAAATGGGTTCTAATGGCATTGACCATGTTTTTGGGTTACAACCACACTAAGCACAAAGCATCCGTGTAATAAGAAACATTTAGTTTGTGGGGAAAAAAGTAATGGCTGCAATAGGGGCCCCAGGTAGGGGTATAAAGGAGTAAAATTAGGTAAAGTTAGCTTCTTTAAGTTTACAATAGATAAAGGTGTGGCCTCAATCGGGGCATATTTAAGGGGCAGAAAGGGGTAGAATTTGTTAAATCTTAGCAAATCTTGTTGTCTTGAACCAAAAGTGTAACTTCATATAGATGATCTTTAGGGAAAGGACTGCAAAGTTTGTGAGAATAAAAATAACTGGTCCAAAATTACCCCTTCTGATATTGGTTACATATTAATCTTTGATAAAGACATGTTGTGTGTTTATGACAACTATATAGGCGAGAAAAAATGTGTAGCCAGATCTTTCATCAAACCCGGATCTTATTACTCGCTGAACCTTCTATGTTCTGAACTACATGTATAATATGGTTCAATACCTGTGGTAACACTACATTTCTCAGCCTTGATACATATATATTCCTGTCTCAGAAGTACCACAAGATGTTTTCACATTGTTTTATGTGAGATTTTTTAGTTGGATGCCTTATTGTATTAGGCAAGGAAAAGATTGTGGATAGACTTGAAATTGATCTGATTTTTTGTATACTTTAGCTGTACATGTATCTACTAAACTATTTCAACTTGTAAATGAAAACATGATTTGCTTTATATAAATGTGCAACCCTGGCCTCTGTTTGGCTAAGACATTTTGGACTTCCTCTCAAGAACCACTGGGTAGATCATGTTCAATCTTGGTACAGATGTTTTACACACGGTCCTGCACAAGTGTTGTTACATTTTTGCAACATTTTAAAATCCCCAGATTATTGACATATATTGCTGAGGTGACGGTTAAGGCCCCTTGGGCCTCTTGTTTAAAGATATATAATTTGTAAATTTACAGTGTGAGAAATTCGATTTTTCTGATTGAGTTTTTAATTAATAACCTCTTTACATGTGTTATGTTACAGGCAGGTGTTCCTCGTGTGGCCTACCGTGGAGTAAACAGCTTTATTTACAGTGGACAGAGAATATACCTAGCTCCCACTGCAGACTGGTCTCAGTATGACCTCACCTGGACGTGACCTTGACCTTTTCATATAGGTGGTTTGGGATCATATTAACTGTCCTTGTTAGATCTGAGAAGGATGGAAATCAAGACCTGTTTGAGTCATCACTTCTCTGTGTATAGAGATATATACATGTCCTCCTGACAGTGTGACAAACAGTCAGCATTGTTTTAGTGATCAAGCTGTCAGGGAGTATATAACACTTCACCATTATCAACGAGGGCAACATTTTTAAGTCTAACCTTTAGTAGGTGACTTGACCAAGAAAACAAGCATAACACTCAGTTTATTGACAATGGTCATGGATTTGATCAGACATAAGATAAATGACAGTATTTTTGTCAAGGGATATTGCTATCACAATGAAAAAAACTTTGGATGCCAGTGTTATTTACAATGATAATGGACTTGACTTGACATCAGAAACAAAATTATTGTCAATATTTCTGTCAAAGATAAAAGATTTTACTGGGGAAATCAAATTTACATCACTAATACTAATTATAAATGACTTCCAAAAAGGGAACCATTTCACATTTGATACTGTAGACAATAAGTCATTACCTGCTAATAAGACCACAATTCTATTGTTGTTTATCAAAAGAACTAGAAACTAAAATGATTTGCTACTTTGGCCAGGGCAAGTTAAAGTAAATAATTTGTTTAGTTAGATGATGCCTTGACAACGGAGATCAATCTTGAATGACTACTATTGTTATGTAATTAGATATCAGGGGAGATAATCTATTCCCCAAAATCTATACTTCATCATTGTTCAATATCATAAGAAATTACTTACAGTGAAAGTTGAAATTTGTTTAGTTTTGATGATGATGGCTTTTAAAATGGCGATCAATCAGGAGTTACTACATTTTGTTGTGGTCAGATCTTAGTATCAAGGGGAGATCATTCTTCCTCCAGAAAATATTCCACCATTATAAAATATCAAGGGGAGATAATGGCTTAATATTTAGATATATCATACATGAATAAATTTATCAATAATTTGATTGTAAATTGTAGGATTTTTTATTATTAGCTCCAAATATGTATCTTGAGAACATCAGGTAATAATTGAGCTGTTGTCATCGTGTAGTTATCTCCCCTTGCGAAATAATCTCTGCATGAATATTGGCAAATGTTGTAGATAAGTAAGTGTTGGTTACTTCCCCTGACAACTCAGTGGATTATCTCCCCTTGATGGAAGTTAGTATACTATCATGCAATGATTATACCACCGACTATCAATTTGTATATTATGATATAAGGCAATGATACTTGTTAAGAATGCAATGCAGGCATTCCTGTCAAAGGTTCAAAACTGGAAATTTCAAATTTTAAAGTCTTTCACAAACTGGAAATGGTCACTTATGTTATTTAAATTCATATTACAACGGTTAAAAATCATTTAAGGAAAAAACAATAGATTCTTATTTTCTAAAAATCTCCATTTTAAGACTAAAATTTCACACTGAAGATTGTCTACATAAAATGTGACAAAAATAAATGGGAGACTCCAGTCCAAAATAGTTTGACAGGTATGTGCAGGAAATCTCATTTTATATGTGTTAAAATTTTTATATGTGTTTTGCACAACTGTTATTGTTTGAAGTTTAATGTATTAAGTATTGTTGATGATAATGTTTGTTGTTTATATAATTAATGTATCACAAAAACAGGAAGAAAATTAAAATGTCTTCCAGGTTATTAGGGTGATCTGTAGTACATTGAAGTTTCACTACAACCATATATTTATACCTTGCTATTGATATATGCCTATACAGGGCCAGAAGGAGCTGTAGATCTCACCCCCGCCATATATCTTACCCCTGCCATCTACCTTCCTTTCAATATATACATACACAGTGCCAGAAGAAGCCATAGATTTTTCCCCTGCCATATATCTATACTTTCCTTTTAAAATATACATACACAGGGCCAAATGGAGCTGTAGATTTAACCTCTGCCATTAACTCACCTTTGCCATCTACACACACCTTCCTTTTGATATATACATACACAGAGCCAGACATCCCCTGCCATATATCTCAACCTTCATTTTAATATATACATACACAGGGCCAGAAGTAGCCGTAGATTTATCTCCAGCCATTTATCTCACCCCTGCCATATATAACCCTTCCTTTTAATATATACATACCCAGGGCCAGAAGTAGCTGTAGATTTCTCTCCAGCCATTTATCTCACCCCTGCCATATATCACCCTTCCTTTTAACATATACATACCCAGGGCCAGAAGTAGCTAGTGTTGTTTCTCCTATATATTCCTTGTGTATTATAGCATAGTCATCATTCCACGTAACAAATCGGTATTCCTTTATTTACATGAAATCCAAAGCTTCAAGAGTTAGATATTATTTTTTCCTAACAGAACACATCAATATATTCCTTTTTTTCTTGTAAATTTTGATAGCAAATAGTCATCATTCCAATTAACAAAGAGAGGTTTAAAACATCTTTATTTACTTGATTAAAAATGAAATCCAAAGCTTCAAGAGTTAGATATTATTTTTTCAATATGTGACATGAACACACATTTATTCTTTTGATTTTTATTCTATTGTAAATTTTGACTTGTATCAAAGTATTTTTTCTTTTTTTAAAAAACTGTAAACAAACTGTTCAAATATTTTGTCAAAATGAAATTAAACAAAAGAGAGGAGTTGGTACTATCAACAGGTCATGTGATAGTTGTCTTGATTAAAACATAACAAAATATCTATATTGTACATACTGATTGTCATTATTTATACTTCATTTTTTCAATATGTGACACGAACTTTGTGTACATTTATTTACCATACTAAGTCCAACTTGTTAATCTTTTAATTGATTTCTTATTAACTGAAATAAAAACAGAAAATCAAATGCATTTTTTTAAAAATCAGTTTTTAATGTACTCTGAAATTTAGATAATGTTAAAATATCTAGTATATGTGTGTATTTGTTTTTAAGTAATTTCAACAATAACAGTGATGTTTAATTCTGTGTTTGGTTTCATTTGTGCTTGTTTCCTGATTTTGATGTGACCACCCTAGTATTTTCTGAAATTTTGAAATGTATTTTATAACTGTTTCGGTATAGTCTATTTATGTATACTTGATATTTATTTCATTTTTTGGCGTATTATAAATCATGTGGTAAGAATATTGCTGTACTACATGTGTGTTTATTCAGAATCGTGATGTTTATTTGAAAGAGTAAATGAATGAATGAATGAATGAATGAAATTCATAAAAGCGAATGGAATGATTGATTTGTTGTATGGTGTATGGTTGATTAATTATCTATGCCAAGAATACGATTTAACAAATGTATTGTTTTATACTATTGACCTTATAATAAACAATACACAATTGATGACCACCAATCGTATCATCAATACAAAGTGCTGTTGTAGTTTAGTAATATGTCAATGATGGTACTAGTCCATGGTGTATGTACATGAATAAATCTGATCCTGTTTGTCAGGCATGACTGATTACATAAATCAAGAGCGTGATGATATTCACATTAAGGGATAAATGGTAGAATCATATCTAGGTCATGGATGAATGGTTTTAAGGCATGTATGAATTTTGTGTATAAAATGTATGTATAGAGCATGCACTGAGAGAAGAAGATAGGAAACATGTATGGAAGTCTATTTCTATTCAGCACTTCATAAATGTGTTTTATGCATAAATGGTGTAACACCTTACGCTACAATGCAATGGTATGTATTCATAATAAGTATAAAAAATTATTGGAGCATGTATAACTGACATAGTTTTGTACTGACAATGGTCAGGGAGAAGGGTATGTATCATCTGTATTAAGAGAACCTGTGTTTATGTGTTAAATTTGTTAGTAATTACTGTGATTTGTGTGAAGAGAGTTATCTCCCTTCAATTGAAATTATTTTTATAATTATAAATAAATACATGTTATCCTATGTACATTGCCATTTTTATCATTGATTAATATTACAAAATTATGAAAAATCAGATAATGTACATTTTATTCTTGGAACTTTTGTGTATGGTGATGTAATGTCTTTCCTGAGTGAGATGCCATATTACCCTTAATAAGCTTTTCAATAAGAATCACTCTTTCTTCATAGATACATATTGTATATACATCTTATACATTTAATTGGAGTAGGGGAAAAGCATTCATCATTTAATTTTAGAAAAATAGAATTGCCTTAAGGGTATATGTCTTCTTGCTCAAATTGTCTCTATCTAAAAGAGTTCCATGCCAAGAAATCTCGTCACAATGAATTTACGAGGACCATTCATTCAGCATTAGTGTGAAGTACTTACATGCTCCTTGCTCTTTATGCCTGAGACTTGATTTGTGACAGAGAGTACTCTTCATAAGTGATGTTTTCCTTAGCACGGTTTTCTCACTTGAATTTATTTTTAATTTATTTCTAAAAGTTGCATATTAAGATGAGAAATCTGTTTGTAGCCTTTTATCATCAGATATTCAAATTGTCCTTTGTTGATGGTTGTTATCCATCTGAACTTAATTCTTTTTATTGCAGTTTGAGACCGAGTGGCTATTTTTCCTCCATGAGAAATATTTGATGGATCTTTCTCAATTTTCAAATGTAGTTTCCCACTAGTCCTTAATGGTGCAGTGTACAGATTAGAATAATCACAAAATCAGAAAGGCCAACAAATGTTTGATTAATCAGTTGTAGATTTTTTTTTTTTCTGAGAAGCTCTGGATTTGTCATTCACATATTGCATATATAATTTCTCCTTTGTCCTGTGTTGTAAGTTATTCACATTGAGACTAATTAGAAAATGATTGATGGACAGCCATCATGGAGTTTGACAATTAGAATTTGTTAGTCCTTTACTTGTGAAACACTGTCCTTGCTGAAAGAAAAGGTCTAAATAGCTGATAAACTTTATACAATGATGGATAAAAAGCTCCCTCTGGGATCTTCTGTTTCCAAATAAATTTTATATCTGTTATCTACCATCCATGACCTTTGGCCTGGATACCATGCAGTGATAGATCTCCAGTAGGTTGTAAAACTGATTTTCAATTAGAAATATCCTGCATTGAATCATATCCTGTTTTCTTGTAACATTAACTTTATATAGATTAAGGAAATTGATTGAAACATTACATTCCCACATTACTAGTGACCAGTTAACAGTGTTAATGGCGACCTATAAAAACATCTATCAACAGAGGTGAGCAATAGAAATCATTTGTGCTTTATCGCAAAAGTCTTCAAAGAAGGTGATGATTCACAAACTGATCTCCCAGAAATAGAGTTACTTGTGTGAAATAGTACTATCAAACAAGTTCTTCAGTTTTCTTTATTTCCATATTCTTTATAATACTCCTTATTTTTAATCTTTTTTACACTCAACGAAGTTGATGTCTCAAGAAGGTGAGCTGACTTTAGACAGTGAGAATCAGTATTGTAAAGGTATGTCTGTGTAAACATGTGTTGCTTTTATAGGAAAGGGTAAGGGAAACAGGATCATTGTTATAATGTCAATAAAATTAACTTTCAATATTTTAATGGTTTGTTTTGTTTGGTTTCTATAGACCTTAGAATTTGACACTTTTACAACATTCAAATACGACTAAACCAGAAATATGAACTATTTCTTTTCACAAAGAGACATGTTAATGTCTTTGCACATTTACAAAGTTGCTACTTTGTTTCTGGTCTTTTATAAGTAACATTAAACTTGTTTTAATCTTTTTAGTTGTAAGTTAATGCTTCACTCGAGGTCTTCTTATCACAAAATATACAAATAACTTAGTAGTATTTAATGTCTGAAACAAATTCATTCAATCCCTAATTTCATATTGACAATAATTTGTTGTTCATCTTTGGAATATTTCCATTGTTGGTGAACTGTGGCACCAGAGTTCATACGTGTAGAGTTGATACTGAAATATTACAACATGTATATACATTAGACAACTTCAGAAATTAATTTGAAATATGACAGTAACCCTGGTAAATATAAGCCACAATA